TGACAGGTGCAAATGAAAAGCGTATTTCCCCGACCCAACTCATGTTATGCTGATGGCACAAGCGTGGAGTGGATTTCACAAAGCATGTTGGCAGTCACCCCGCCTTGCCGATTGACAAAACGCTCGAGGCGAATCCCTCTTCATTTAATTAAAAGTGCCTCGCTTTTTTTTTACCGGCCCACTGTCGAGCTGCTAGATCTCCGTCCGTCCCGGGTGGGAAAAACTACCATGTTGCAGCTTTTTCAACAACACAGCTCTCTTTTTAACGACGCTGCTCGCTGCTGGCGTCGTTCACGATTTGTACCGACAGTTTGTTACAAATGCGCTCGTCCTCATTAAAACTGGCCCCTTTTTTCAGCGACCTGATGCCCGCCCGGGCTGGACGGTTTCAGGGGGGCTGTGCGATGGGGATGTTTGGACGGTGTGCTGCCAGGAGCGGGGCCCTGCCAAAGGGGCGGGGGCGGGAGGGGATTGATCGTTTGGCTGCAATGGGGATGGCCCTCGACCACTTCGCACGCTCATGGGCAGGCCATGGACAGGCCATGAGCGCGCGCGACAGGCAGCATGATGGATAGCGCCTCATAACCCAACATGCGTCCTGCCTGAGGCTTGCCCGAGACCAGCCTGCTGAGGCTCGCCTAAAGCCTATAGCCATGCCCTCTCTGCATCGCTGTGCCTGCTCAGTGACCACACCCTCTCCCATGAGGCTTATCCTTGGGATGTCTCCAAATACAAATTGACCACGACTCGGTTGGTGTTGTTTTGAAAGATTATTTGCCTACCTTGCTCTGTGTCCGTGTCGTGGTTTTAAAGTTCTATTTTGAGACACTCAGCTGCTGTCTCTCTAAGACCCTGAGTGAGCAGACAACTCACCGACACGTGTACATGCAGTGACAGTCTAACTACGAAATCCCACGGTTTTTGTTTTTTGCTGGCAGCCGGTGGTATGTTGTGTTCTGCTAACGCAATAGAGCTGGGACTGGGATGGACGGGGGACGTGCAGCGCGCATGGCACATGCCAATCACCGTCCGCAGCGCTGCAGCGGCAACCTCTCCCCGGGGGATGATATGGTTTCAAGGGAGATGGGGAAGAGGATTTTGGTCGTTACAGACGAGTACGCAAACATCATCCACAGCAATTTTCGCCAAGTTTCTTCCAAAATATTTGTGACTTTTTATGACATTTCGGAACATCTTTAAGGCCTTCCCGTTCCCTGTTGAGGAGGAATTCAGCTGGCTGAGAAGCAAGTAATCGAAGCGCCGTGAAAGGGAGAGCGGGAGAGGGGAGGTGTTCCTTGATCTTCCAGTCTGACTAAGGCGGTCCGCAGGTCTCTCAGTTGGCCCTGGGGGTTCTGCTGGAGAGAGGATGGGAGGCTCGGCTGCTTCACAGCCACCGCCGTTCCAGTCCCGAAACATCGACCGTCAAACGAGACGTGCCGAACGTGACAAAGCATTGGCGGGCATTGGATACAGATTTGCGAGTAAACAGAGCCAGCGGGGGGTTGGGCTGGTCGAGGCCGCCGGCAGGCATGGCCTTCTCACGGGCGCATCTTCGGGCGCCAGGCACTCAAGCCTTTTACTCTCTCTTTCTCCCCTCCTCCCCTTTTTCTCGATTCTTCTCCTCTCACTCTCGGCTGCCTCTCTGGCTGGCCGCGTGGTCCGCTAGCCGCTCTTCGCTGTAGACCAAGGCCGCCTTAGAAGGCCGAAGCGGAGAGAAACTGGAGACTGTGCTCTAGTGCTGGCAGGAGGTTTGACCGATCGCCGATCGAGATGCCAATCCGTCTCAGAGACTTTTTATTTAGGGTGTTTGCTCTGTTGATATACTGTGAAGCATCATTGTGTCGCCATTATTTCGGCAATCATTAACATAGTTTCCTACCTATCGCAATAGTGCAATTTCACCTCGAATTTTACTCAGATGGTTAGTGTTGGTGTTTCAGTTTACACATAAGTCGACGTGTGGTGATGCTTGCAGTTGTAAAAGTTTGAATTGTAATTTTACGGCGCTTAATGAATAACTTTCCCGTGGTACCTTCTCCCATATTTAACAGTGGGACAGAAAAAGATACGAGAAATGCGGAAAATTGTCTTGCATTTTTTTTTCGGTGATGGGACTTTAAAATGGTTTCTTCTCTCCTCTCTAAGCGCCTGCAGGCGACTCGTTTATCTGGTTGGATGAGATGACAATCATTCCCGCGACCAGCACTGGATTTTCCAGCTCGATTTAGTGCGTCGGACTCTCTCCATCACATCACGTAGAGGCACTTTACTTTTTTGTCCGTGATGGCCGTCCGTCACCGTCACGTTTCTACGTCCGAGTTGCCTCTCTCTCTCCATCCCTCCCCCGCTTCGTCAATAAGGAACGCTAGAGGGAGGGAGTGACTGATCGTGACGTGTCGCGACGCCCCGTCACTGGCCATCAGATCTAGCTAGCCTCTAGTGCAAGGAGGGGATGCAGGGAGGGGGGGGAGCACGATGAAGGTGGGGTAAGTGGTTTCCGAGATGTGAGGACGTATGTGTGGGGCTCTCGCGGGGGTGGAATAAACCGAGGACATGTAGTACGCCAGTGGAGTGAGGTGCAATGTTTCAAACTGAATATCAGAAAGTATTTTTCTCAATAGACACGAGAATCTAGCGCATTGCTTTGAGCATAGGAGAACTTGGAAAGGGGGGAGATTGTGAGGTGAAGTCCGTCCGCCCGTCTAGTCGGCCGGTGCGATATCTCTGATGGGGCCCCAGTAGGACGTTGGCACGCCCCGAAGAGAGAAAAGTGGTCGTTTCCAGTCGGAAACTGACGTAAAAGCGGGAACGGTGGGGCAGGGCGAGGCGACTCGTCCTGCTGGCGTTGTCGAACCAAAGGGCAGAGATTCCTTACGGAAGTTAATGGGCACGGACGACCCCCATTCTTTTCTGTCTCCGTCTCCAGACTAGCGCTCTGCTCTGGATCTTCGTCTTTGCGAAGGAGGTTGGCGAAGAGATGAAGTCGAGATGACACAGCGACGGTATACGGGTAGTAGCAGTGCAGCATCAGTCACGGCGGCGGCGTTCGTTAAAAGACATTCATCATTGTTAGCAAAATTACGCAGAGAGACGGAGAGAGTTGACACAACTCATTTCCAAGCTTTGTCATTCACAATCGCGCAGCACTATCTTCTTACTTTCCCGCCAGAGTTTTGAATGTCGTCCCAAGGTTCTTTGGCCGGTCGTAGAACAGGCAGGCGTGCTCCAGTGCTTAGCCTCGTCTGGATTGGTCGGCTTCCGCTGCTGCAGTGTGCAGAGCTGGATGAGGTCAGGCAACTCTGCGCCCCCCCGGGGGCGGCCGGGGGCGGCTCGCGCACAGGGGGTGGCGGAGCGTAGCAGCGTAGCGGGGTTTGCTGAAAGGGCGCGGCGGTATGTATAGCCACACTGCCACAAATTATTTTGGAAACCTCTCTCCTCCAAACTCCGCGCGCGCCCGCCTTCTCTGCTGCTGCTTCTCTCTTCACAATTAATTCCTGGCGGCCGAGCCGTACGATTGGTCCATTGTTGGCCGCGGAGGTGAGCGATGTGGCCAGGCGGGCCGGGCGGGCCAGGCCGGGGGTAGCTTTTAGTAACCCGCGCCGCCGCGCCCCCCGCCGCGGCCACTCGTCTCCCTTTTCCAAAGGAATTTAAAAGGCCCGGTTATTCAAGGGCCGAGACGGCGCTGCGGCGCGCGGCGTCGACGGGCCGCCCTTTTTATTTTGCTCTCTCTCTCTCTCTCTCTCTCTCTCTCTCTCTCTCTCTCTCTCT